AGGAGGAAGTGCTTGACTATGCATTTGATGAGCTATGGTGAGCATGTTGTTCCTGAAGACTTTCTTCAGAAGCTGTGGTTTGTTCGTACCATGCTGTGTTAAACCAGAACCAGTGCTGCACACATACAGGAGAGCCTTGTAGCTGGAGCACAGGACTGGGAGTTAGGAGACTTTGATTCTGTTCCCAGCCCTCCCAAAAACTCCCTTTGTGATACTGGGCAGGTCACTTTCCCCCTCTCTGTGAAACGGGGCTAATGAGACTGCCCTATCCCTCAGGTGCTCTGAGGCTATATTCATTAATGGTTCTGAGATCCCCTGAAGACATTAGAGAATTGCCAGGGGTTACTGGTTGGCGCTGTCTTTCATGGGACCCCTTGCCAGAATGCCTAGATATAGCACATCAGCAGACCAAACACACCTCTCGGATTGACGAGTGTATTATAAGGGATTCAGCAACTGATACAAACACATTTCTAGTGGAACGGCTGGTAGGGCAGTGCATATCATAGATTTCTTTGGGCTGCAAGGAACCTACAGTAGGCTGCCTCTGACATTGCTGCAGAATTGTTCTCACTCTCCTCAAACTATCCCCAATAGATGAATTTCTAGCCTAGTCTGGAGTATCTCCAGCCATAGTGATCTCATGTCCTTTGGCTACATCTTCCCTGCTGCAGTTCAGTCTGTTCCCGCTTGCTCTGTCCTGCCTTCCTGATACAGTGGGGTTTGCCATTAAAACAGTTTTTCAGAGGGCAGGTCTATTACCACAATGATGCTTTTCAACTTGAAACAAGCAGGCTACAGGGGATAGGTTCAATAGGGCTGTTTTGGCAATAGATGTTACAGGGCTAGAATTGCCAGAGAGGTGGGGTTGGAACCTTTCTCTGCAGAGTTTTTAAGGACTAGCAACCAGCTGGGGAGCAGAGCAAGCAAACTCAGCCTAAGGATGTGAATCATAATGGGCTGAATCCAAGTAAAGGCTGCAGACAGCAGAGCTGGTGCAGTTATGCTACACCTAGGGGCCAGGATGCACTGCAGGGAACCTGGATACATGCAGGTCATATAGAGAACAGCTCTATAGAGACTGCCTGCCCACTCCATCTTCTGCAGTGTAATTACAAGAGGTGGCCTGGAAAACTCCATGATAAAATAGGGTTTGGGGGTCATAATCCCAACCATTCTGAATATAGAAATAGAAAGACACCTGTTATCTAGGAACTTCAAAGACTTGCCTGAGAGATGCAGCCATGTGTCCTGACCTGTCTCTCTGTACCTATGCAATTTACAAATGCAGCAGTATTTTGTTTTACTTTCTAGCCCTACGACACCTCTGCTTGCCAGAATATTAAACATGTGAAGAAGCCCAAAGTGATCTGCTTGCATCTCAGTGAGCCCGACACATGTGTAAGTAGCATCTTTGCAGGTAGGCTGAATGGCCACTTGTTTTAAAGCCGCGTGGGAACAGTGTGAGGTCTTGGGGGCAGGTTCTTACCATCCTGTCAAACTTGCAGGCACAAGGGGCCAGCAAAGCTGATGGTGCCTGGCGTGTTAGTGTGGTATTTACGGCTTGTGCTCCATTCCCATGGGGTGGGGAATGCAAACCGCTTGCTGCTGACTGAGCACAGCGGAGACAACAAGAGTCACCAGGAGGAATTCAGTAATGTCTCCCTCCATTATGGTGCAACCTGGGGCCACCTCAACTTCCTTTGTCTCCTCCTATTTAACAGGAAACCACCATTCACAAACACACACACACACACATATACCAGTCCTGCACACGTTATCTCCTCCACCTCACCATCCTCCTCTCCCTTTACTGCCAGCTGGCATGGAGAGGAAATTGGGTCAGATGAGGGGGGTACAGTGGAACCTAGGCCTCACTGCCCCAGTTCAATGGCTTTGAAGGGTGTCCCAGGTCTGTTTGAATTGGTCCAACTGGAAACTGTTAGTGCAATTACTTATTTGTAAAACTAAGATGAGATTAATGGGGAAGGATCAGCTAAGGTGCAGTTGGAGGGGAATAAACTCACTGTGCAGCAAGTGAAGACCTGAGACAAATGCTAGATGGTAAAGAATCTTGTGGGACTGCCGACTCAGGTGACCAGATGTCCCGATTTTCTAGGGACAGTCCCGATTTTTGGGTCTTTTTCTTATATAGGCTCCTATTACCCCCCACCCCCTGTCCTGATTTTTCACACTTGCTGTCTGGTCACCCTACTGCCAACTGGTGTGAAATTACAGTGATTAACTTTACCTCTACTAGCCAGCCACACTGAGATCACTTGGAGGGGTGGGGGGGAGCTAGATTCTTATTCTATTGACTTTTCCTTGTAAATTACCTATTAACTGGCATTTCTGCCTGTTTACATTCATGCTGAAAGTATTTTAGCAACAATTCATGTTGAAACCCCTATGGGATTGAGTGACCATAAACACAGATGCCATCTAGTGGGCAGTAAACAGACAGCATTGTCAGATATGAGGTTTTATATATTTCTATATTCTGGTTGAGATTCACTGTCCAAAAAGAAATTGGGTGTATTTAGTTAAAGGTAAGTTAGTAAATGAGTCCTGTTAATTGTGCTCACCCTTAGGACTGAATGAAATGCTGGAAAATCTAAAAAACTAAAAATAAAATAATAAAAATAAATTTTAAAGCATGGTATTGGAGTTAAGGCACTGGACTGGGACTCAGTGTTCAATTCCTGCTTCTGCTACTGACTTCTCATGTGACCTTGGGCAAATCACTCAGTATGTCTGACACATGTCCTCTGCCCTTGGATTCTAGCTACTCTAGCAAGTCGCATCTGACTGCTCGTATACTTGGAATCCCCAAATATGAAATGCTTTAAACCACACTAGTTTTAACAATGGCTTTTCCAGAAACCCTTATCCCATGGCAGGGCTCTCCTCATGCCTCCACCTAACTAATCATTGCATGGAAAAAACTATTTGGCCTCCAAGCTGGGTTAGCTGCTGAACCTGGGAACCAGATAACTGTCTGAGAGGAGAGTAGATAGAGGGCGCTGAGTTGTTTCTCCTTTTTCCTGCTGGCCTTTCCCAAGGCATGCATGCAATAATCTGGTGTCCGTCTCAGTTAAATGCAAAGGAAACTCTAACACTCTCAAGTATTCTTTCCACAGCACACAAAAGAAAATACACAGGTCTTTCCTCCCATCTCAGTCCCCCAACCCCAAAACAAACTATATGGAAATAGTACTAACTGGTTGTTTTAAACCTTCTGTTTTCACAACAAGCCAGTATAAATAGTTTTACTGGTGTGACTGGGAGGTTTTGTATTGTTTGGCGCTTAGCTAGGCCAATGTTTTTTAAAAGTGACTAGTGCAACAGTTCCCAAACCTTGGGTTGCAACCCCAAGTGGGGTAGCTCCATCAGTAAATGTGATTGTGGCAATTCAAAGTGTGCATTTTACAAAATGGTGTCCTCCACACAGCATGATGTCACATGTACTGTACGTGCAGGGTCAAACCGCATGGAGGAGGCTATTTTGCTCTACCAAATGGTGCTTTCCATGCAGCATCACCTTGCACACGTATGTGCATGCCAGTGGCAGATTAGCCACTGGGCCAATGGGGCCTGTGCCCAGGAGCCCTGGCCAATTGGGGGGGCCCCCAGAAAAATGGGCACCCTCGCACCTGGATCCACTCCAGCCAGCCGGCACTCCTGCCAGGGAGCGGGATTGGGGTTCAGGGGCTTGCCTCGCTCTGCCTTCCTGTGCTCCTGCCAGGGAGTGGGGTTGCCGGGCGGGCAGAGCGGGGCAAACCCCCACACCCCAACTTTGCTTCCTGGCAGGAGTGCTGCCAGGGAGGGGAGCAAGCCCCCATGCCCTAACCCCATTTCACGGGGGCAGAGGGGTTGGGGGGGACTAAAGGTGGAAGGAGGGGCCCACTTGCTCTGGCCCAGGGCCTCACAAAACCATAATCCATCTCTGGTGCATGCAAGGTCATGCTGCATGGAAGACACCATTTTTAAATGACTAACAAATTTATGGTGCCACAAGTACTCCTGTTCTTTCTGCGGATACAGACTAACACGGCTGCTACTCTGAAACCTGTCATTTTTAAATGGCACCCTCCATGCTGTTTGGGATCACGGGAAGCAATATAGCTAAAAATGGGGCCATGCACGGAAAATGTTTCGGAACCACTGGGCTAGTGATTTTGGTGCCTCCATTTTTTGGGTCCCCAATGGGACACACATTTGAGGGGCCTGATTTTAGAAAGTGCTAAGCAGCCACTCTGAGCTGTCCAGCCCTCTCCATGATAGAGTATTTTAAGAAATGGTGACCCTGTTTTAGCAAAGTCCAGCCCTAATCCCAATCCAGAGTATGTGTGTACACAGGTTTCAGGAGAAGGTCCATCCTGTTTGGTGTACCAGTTGGTCAAGAGGAGGAAAAAGCTGCAATCCACTCTTCCCTTCCTCCACCCAAGAGTCACTATTGTTTTTAAGTAGAGGGGTCGTTTTAATGCTCAAAGCGAGAAGATTTTATTCTTTGCTCGGTCTTTGATCAACAACCCATCAGAAATACTAAAAGCAGTTCCTAAACAGGAAGGCCAATGTTTCTTTGTTATTTCCCTCTTCTCCTAGTTGATGACAATGGGGCAGACAGTGCCTGCAATTTCAAAACAATAAAGGCCCCCTTGGCTTCTTTCTCATTCTGAGATTTAAAGGGACACACCTAAGCACCTTAGACCCCAAATTTAGGCTTGGTAAAAATAAAATTTTAAAATTTTGTTAATATTTACAATTTACTTTACAAGCATAAAATTGTTCTGTGAGGTAGGTAAGTATCAAAATTCCCATTTGGCAGATGGGAAAAGAAGGCTCAGAGAAGTGACATTTCTCACCCAAGGCCACATAAGTTAGTGGAAGAGGAAGAATTGATGTTTGCGGTCCCTAGCTCCCAGTCCATTGCTCAGTCTGTTGGATCAGACTGCTTCCCAGTTTGAGCTGATGTTAGACTGGTGTTGGCTATATGTTTGTACAATGCCTAGCACAATGGGGTCCAGATCTGGTAAGAAGGCCTTAGGCACTATTGCAATATAAATGATAGATTGATAACAATAATACAAGCTAGTGATATATTTTAGATATCATTGAGGGAGATCATTTGTGGGTTTGTCTGGTTTCTTTTAATAACTCTTTCTTTCTGGAAATTTTGCAGAATAATTTTCTAAAGACAAAGGGAGCAAATTTAAGTATGGTGATTTGTGACACAACCTCATCCTACAATCACGTCTCTTCTCCCCCATGCCACATTGAACTCGCCAAATCTGAGGTGGATCCTTCCTGCATGCTGCTCATTCAGGCTGGCATTAAAGGTTAGTGGAACCAATGTCTCTGGATTTTGTGGTGATCACTGTGTCTGTTTATGGGGGATAGGAAGGAAAGTGGGGACTTCTGTGGGAAAGAGGGAGGTTAACTGTTGGTGGGCGGTGGGGATATATGACTTGTTTGTAGAGGCAGAGCTGGGGGTATCTGAACATATGCTAACACTAAAGCACAGATTAGAAAACAGAATTCTCAGAGAACATATCAGCTCTGTAACTGTGTTTTCCTTTCTCTATTAAGTGAGTTTAACCAGAGATTTATTTGGCTTATATTGAGTCACAGCATTTCCTGCAGAATGAGTGGGGAGTTCACAGCTTCTCCTTTGTCTCTTCAATACTGATGTAAACTGCAGGTATTGACTTGTTGGCATTTGTGTCACAACCTTTCTGTTTTGAAAACTGCAGATGCAGATGCAATAGACAAGCTCCTCCAAGTACGGCAGCCTGATCTAATGAAGGTAAATGCTTTAAGCTAGTTAAGCATGGGAGACTGGATGGCTTTGTGGGCTAGGATAAAGTAGTCTTTTAATGATAGTTCAAATCCAGCCCAGGTTGGTGGTAACTGAAAACTGTCACTATCTCAGGGGCATTTGGTGACCAAATGTAAATAAGATGGTTTCGGTCCAGATACCAGTGCATAGGTATTCACAGCACCACGCCGCTTTAATGGGCATTCTGGCTGGCAGTCACAGGACACAGACACCAATGGGCTGTAGAGATCAATCCCCTTTGTTCCCTAGAGGTGGTCAGAGGTCAGTCAATGTGTAGAGGAGGCTTACTAGGCTGTATCTGTTTTGGGGAGAAACAAGGGGATCTTTCACTGTCTGCACTAATCAAATTGTTTATGTGCTCTAAACATATTTTGATCTAAGCACTGATTTATGTCCCTGGTACGTGAGGAATAATACACCTCCGATGGTGCCTTGTAGGTCCTCCAATACTAACAAGGTGGCACTTCAAAGAATGCTGCCATATTCTATTGCAACACACAGGTTGGTACAAAAGGGGCTCAAAATGTTGAATGAGCCAGTCATCTAGGGTTGCCACCTCTGAGGTACATAAAACAGGACATTTCTGGGATGATCCTGACCCCATAAAACTGGACAGCTGACAGTGCATACTGAGCACCCTTACAGATTTCCTGGGACAGCTACCTCAAAAATGGATGAGCCTGGGAAAACCAGAACAGATGGCAGCCCTACACTCATCCCGTAGAAATCTTCTGATAGTGAATTCCTGAGGCTTTGCAGACCTAACCAGAAGCCACATCTGTTTAGGGATCCTGGAACCAGAATCACTTCAGCATTTTCCCTCTGGGAAGACTGAACTTTCTGACAGGTTTCAGAGTAGCAGCCGTGTTTAGTCTGTATCCGCAAAAAGAACAGGAGTACTTGTGGCACTCTCGTTGGAGTCTGTTTTTGAAGCTTTTCTGTCATTGAATGACCATTCAATGACAGACCTGCGGGTGGCTATTTTACAACAGAAAAAACAGACTCCAACGAGAGACTGCTGAGCTGGAATTGATATGCAAACTAGATACAATCAATTTAGGATTGAATAAGGACTGGGAATGGCTGAGCCATTACAAACATTGAATCTAGCTCCCCTTGTAAGTATTCTCACACTTCTTATCAAACTGTCTGTACTGGGCTAGCTTGATTATCACTTCAAAAGGTTTTTTTCTCTTACTTAATTGGCCTCTCAGAGTTGGTAAGACAACTCCCACCTGTTCATGCTCTCTGTATGTGTGTATAGATATCTCCTCACTATATATTCCATTCTATATGCATCTGATGAAGTGGGCCCACGAAAGCTTATGCTCTAATAAATTTGTTAGTCTCTAAGGTGCCACAAGTACTCCTGTTCTTTTTTCATGAACTTTCTGAAGTCACTATCAAGTGTTTTCTAAGCCCAGTAGCAGAATCGCTTATTACTTTATTTACTTCAAAATATGTATGAAACACCCATTGCCAGTGTATCCCTTATTTTTTTTAAAAAAGAAGGGGGCTAAATATTCAAAAGTAATTAGTGATTTTTGGGTGTCTAACTTGAGGCTCTTTACAGGAGCCTGATTTTTAGAAACAGCTGCGCACCCACCCTCTGAAAATCAAGGCTTTGTAATGTGTCTCAAGTTGGGCACCGAAAATCACTTGTCACTTCTGAAAATTCAGGGTGTGTGTGTGTGTGTGTATATGCACACGCTCACTATAGCATTCTACAACCATTACCACAGAGTCCTCCGGTATCACTACTGTCTGCTGCAGTGCTTTGGATGATTACTGTCATGTACTGTAGTATTTTTTTTAAAGGACCTGGGTACCAATAATAACTCTTCAAAGTGCTATACTGACATTAATCTTCCCTATACACCACTGAGGTTGCAATACTTTGTAAAGCTGAACTCCAGGTGCCTGTAAAAAATGGCACCCAGCAGCTAAACATGAACTAAGTTCTTGCATCTGTGCTCTAAGTCTCAAGCACATAACGTTCTCATGGTGGGCAAAAACTCCTTTTAGGGGAGCTAAACTGAGGAGGATGCTTAGAATGCAAATGAGCTGTGAGGTCCTTCAATCCTGGGTGCGTAGGCTCAGCAAAGTGCACAAGCCAGGGTCCAGGAGATGGAGAGAATAATAATTATACAAAACTGTGTGCTTCTGCATTGCTTCTCATCCAGAAAAGTTGTCAGTCTCAGCAGAGGGGCCAAGGACTGAATGCCCAGTGGATTTCTTACCCCTAGAGTTGGTGCCTGCAGGTCAGGGGTAAGGCACAGTGGTGGGGCAGTGTGGGGAAAGCTTGCATTGCTTTGGCCTGTGCTGTAGCTGACCTGGGGAGGGAGAATCTTGGACTTGGGGGCTGTCAGCCTGGCTCTAACGCTCTGATTCAACTCCCACTGAAGCTAATGAGTGTCTTTCCACTGGCTTCCTTGGGAGATGGGTCAAGCCCTGTGAGTGTGTGTGTGTGTGTGTGTTTATACAGTGTGTGTGTGTGTGTGTGTGTATATGTGTATATATATATACAGTGTGTTTATTTATATATTTAAAAAGAACTGGAGTGGAAGACAAAGTTGTGTCTTTAAAATATGGAGTGCTCTCAGCAGATGTGCATGCACGGGTTTCCTGTTTATGAGACTCTTGGCTCTGTTTGGTATATTTCCAGATTGGAATAAAATCCCATCAACTGGAGAGTATTGGACGCCACCAGAACATTCCCCGGAACACGCTGATTGCCTTGATCACATCTGGACTCTTGCTGGCGTTTCTGAGTTTGGCTGGATACTTCCTTATGAAACGACGGAGTTGGAGCCCCAGGGGAGAGAGGCTGGTTAGTGCTTATAGCTGGCAAAACAACAAGTAGAGAGAAACCAAAATACAGGAGGAATGCAGAGGAGGGAATGCAACTGAGTCACAAGCTCTCTAAGGGAGTGACCCACTGGCAAAGACCTCTAAGCGCCACCAACAGTCTCTGTTTGGGGGGAGAGAGAGGCTCCGCTTATGTTCTGTACAAGTTGCCTATAGCTTATGAAAGTATCAATAGGTGCGACAAGACGGCTTGTTGCTTTGAGTGCTGTTAGGATATAGATATTCAGGCCTGTTTGTAAAGGCCTATACTTTAAGAATGTAGGTGTATTCTTATTACTTAGCTAGTTATAGAGGTATAAAAGAAAGAATTAAAATTACTCTTTGTATGTGTAAGGGACAGCCTGAGGCTTTGTTTTTAGTTTAAGTAAGGCCTTTGGTTAAGCAGCAGAGGCAGCCATAAACTGAGACGTGAACGGTTACGTTTTTACATATTAAACTAGTTACATAAAAATAAGGTGCTATTGGGCTGTTAGGAATACAATTTTGTTTTCATATTTTTATTACCTTCAGAGAAAGGAAAGAGCCTAGAACATGTAAAAGGAAATTTAGTCAACCTGTTAGGGGGCTTAGAGTATTGTTGCTCTCTGTTCATGCAAGAAGGACCAGGGAAGTAAGAGGGTAAAAAAAATAAGCCCCTTAACAAGTGCCACTACAGGCAGGCTGACAGGGAAACTGAAAACTTGGTGAGCCTGTGACTGATCCAGCCTGAGAGTGGTGAATGGGGAGATGGAGATAAGAGAGGCATAAACAGCTGTGCTAGAGCCCAGATCATGAAGAGTGAAAGGAAATCTCTCTTCCTCTCTAATATTAAATATTCCGTGACTGTTCATTTGGGGATAACTACCCTTTGCTCCCTATCACTTCCAGGTCTAACACTTTTTTTGGCCTGGCAGTAAGAACTCATCTGGGAAGACTCCTCCAGAGACTCTGAAAGCTTGTGAATTTGCCATTGAAAATGAAATACTTTTCTTCAATCATTACATTTAAAAATCAAATTATACATCTGACTTGTATCTATGCTGTAATAAAGGTTGTTTCCCCCATTTAACAAATGGGGATAATAAAGAATATCAAGAAAGAAAGAAAATATTTTCCTATATATATTTTTCCTCTTACAGATTTTGCTGAGTTCCGGGGGTTCCTTCTTTATCACTGATTTATGGAGACTTGAATCTTTCTATGAAGTGCAGTCAGAGCATGTTCATCTAGTTGCACATATGCAGTTATACAGTGGGAGGCTAATAGAGTTCAGTATTCTGGGATGGATCCTGCCAAATGCATGAATGCAAATGACAGTGCATGTATAGTGGATGATATGGTCAGGGGCTTGGTAATGCGATACAGAGCTTGTCACCTCTAGGGCACTGGATTCAACCTCCTGGCCCAGCTTGGCCGTGACTGGAAGTCACTGGTATCTAATGGTGATTTGGTGTTCCCTATGTTAAATAAGCCTGGTGATCTTAATCCAGTTTCCAGTGGACAGGTGTCTCCATCTCAAACACCACCATCACCACAGTTGACAGTTTCAGCAAAGAAGCCAAAAAGTAAATTGGGCCATAGATCCTGAACTCCACTTATGTGTAAGAGATATCCATTCCAGGGCAGGACTGAGGCATATTGGGAGGGGACTGTGTGGGTGGGAAGTTTGCCCTCCTGCCGCCTATGCTGTACATGGCTTTGTGGGCAAATAGAGGGCCTCAGACTCTGACAGCCTTCATCTCCTTCCTGATACACTCTATTGGCAAGTGTACTTCACCTACAGCCCCATGCCCCTGGCTCTTGTTGGCCTTATTGTCAGATCTGCTACACTTAGGGCCTTCAGAGCTGTCACAGCAGAACAAGAGCAGTGGTCCATCTAGTCTGATCTACAACACTGTCTCGTACCTTCTGCTTCAGAAGCAGGTGAAACCTGCCTCTGCTTCTTAATGCACTTGACTAGTTGGGTAATAATAATATGTGTCTGTGTAGACCACCACAGGTATCCAAATTTAAGTTGTCGAATGTGTGGCTTAAGCCCCTGCTATTTCATTATTGAAAGCTGCTTATCTGAGTTGCAGGCTGAAGATAGGAAAGGATATATTCCAAATGTTTCCTACCTGACCCATGTGGAAAATAGATCTGGAGAAACCAGGGCTGGGTGTGCAAACTCCCAAGGAAGGCAGAGCCTAGTCCTGAACAGCACAAAAACCTGGGTGTTCTGCTTTTTAGGTCATTGAGAAGAAATAACTCTCTGACTGGGCCTAACCCTAGTACTGCAATGCCACAGTTCAGGCCTGTATCCTACCACCTACCTGTTGACAGAAGCTGGTATCCCTGCCTGCTGCTATTATGTGCCATGCAGGTGTTCACAGCCTTGCAGCTCCTGCTTGGCATCTAAGCTGGCTGCTGTCCATCCTTTCCTTTTGCTAACTCTGCATTTGTTATCTATGTACCCATTTAGGATGAAGACCTCTATTACACTGAAAACGGTAGCCAGGGAAATACAGGGAACACCGTGGCCTCCCAAGAGCACTCCGAGCCGCAGGAGAAGCCAAATCTCAACAGAGGGGCTCAGAAGAATGGGACTGGACAGGCATCCTCAAAAAATGGACATTCAGCCAAGCAGCACATTGTGGCTGACACTGAACTGTGAAATGTGCCAGGGGGACTGTCTTATTATCATGATTTGAAGGGGGGTGGGGGAGAAGAGACAGGAGCAGGGGGTAAGGGAGAGATTATCCCTTGGATGGCTGGGAAAATATAACCCTTTTTTATCTGAAGAACTCCAAAGTCCCACTCTGTGGGACTTTGTACGCTGTGCTGTACAGTGTTGACCTATCCTAGCAAGGAGCTTCTAGGGGTTAATACAGGGCTAGGGTTGTGGGCTAGGGTTCTTTGCTCTTCCTTTAGCAGAAGAGAATGGGATGTGATCAGTAGTCAAACCACCCAAGCAAGGGCTGGGGAAGATATTTGGAAATTCAGAGCTATGTCAGCTTTGTAAGAAATTGGCTTGATACTGATTTTACTTGGAAGGGAAGGGAGCAGGGAGGGAGTTTAATTCTTCATGAGCCGATGGAGCATTTTACTGTCTCTTGTTATAGACACATGCTATTAACCTAGCTTCCAGGCCTCCCAGTGGAGAATCAGGGGCTGTCTGCGTGAGAGACACTTCCAAAAAGTGGGGAAATGGCCTCCCCTTACCATCCTCTGAACTACAAAAGTGAATGTCCCAAAACTGCAAGTCCCATCCATGTACCACTACTCTGGTTCTGTGCTCTCATTGTTATATGTAAAAAATAAGGAGTGCCATATAGCAACTGAATTGCTTCTAATGATATATGGGCTCAAGCCAGAAAAACCTGGATCCAGATTACAAACAACTCAAATTCCAGCAGGGGCTTGGGCCCATTACAATATAGGGATCTGGGTTCTGACTACCATCACCTCCGAAGTTGTAATGTCTTTCGCTGTGATAGTTTGGTTTAGCCTCATCTTTGTATTTAAGTGCAGCCTTTTCCTCTCTCAGCAACATTAGTAAGTTAATGCCCCTTCTTGTGCTTTATATCCTCTTAGGCCTTGGCTACACTGGTGCTGTACAGCCTGCAACTTGCTGCGCTCAGGGGTGTGAAAACGCACCCCCCCAAGTGCAGCGAGTGCAGCGCTGTAAAGCGCCAGTGTAATCAGCGCCTGCAGCACTGCACGCTCGCTCGCGGCGCTGCAAGCTATTCCCCTCGGAGAGGTGGAGTACTTGCAGTGCTGCAAGAGAGCTCTCGCAGCGCTGGCGGCGTGACTACACTCGCGCTTCACAGCGCTGCCGGGGCAGCGCTGTGAATCCCCAAGTGTAGCCAAGGCCTCAATGTTTAATGCTCTTGTGGAACTTGTATGTAAAGCTTTCCAGATGGAGTCTGGTATTGAGATGTGAATAGACTTGGAGTTGAATTACTATCTCTCCCCCCATCCCTCAGCATGTGTATAGTTGTTTTGCAGTGAATCCTCTGGTATCTGGCTCCCATAGACTGGAGGCACTAGTTGAAGGTGAAGGGAGTGATCAATCTGTGTGTGTGTGTGTGTACAAGAGCATATGACACTGCTCTAGACAACTCACCTCACTTTGAGTGCTTGCAACAGTATTGTCAAGCCACGTGGAAGGAGCTGGCATTGTTACCCACCATGAGGCCTTGGAAATATGTAGATATCAAAGCATTCCTAAAAGAATCCAAAAAATTGTCATAAAGGAAAGAAACCTCAGTCCTGCTAATAGATGTTTGGCCTTCCCTAGTAATAGGGGGTTGTATATAAAAAAACAAAAACATACAGGGAAAGATATTCACTCTTAAGAACAAAGAAAAGGCCTCTCAGCAACACTGAAGTGTTAAGGCCAGGAGCAATCTCTACCTCCTCGTGAGCTTGAGATTGTTCTCTTGGAAAAAGTGGTTTAAGCCAAGCCCATTCTGTGTGGGTCAGGAGTCACATATCATTCAGTAAAGGGTGAAGTCCAACAGACCTACTTATGTCACGTTGTAGGATGGAGCCAGTCCCCATGAATATTTGCTGCCTGTAGCCTGTGTGGTTCCTGGTCTCCTGACCGGGCAGGCCACAGTTTGGCTAGTTGCAGGTGGAGGCCTCTATCAGTAGGACCAGTGTTGTTGTAGCAGCTACAGCCCTGCCCTGGGCACAGCCTTGCGGGATGGGGGAGCAGGTATGTGTAAAGGGAAAAGAAATTTAATTGAAGAAAGGGGACTGGCTGGCTCACTGGCTTTCACCTCTATGTCACGGATTCCAATGAAGCCCAGGTTGGTGGCTGACCAAAGACATTGCTATATGATCCATGTATTGGTGGCCCGTGTACAATGAGTAGGGGACACACCATCACCATTGGCATTAACAGACTCCATTCTTGGCAGCTTCGGCATTGGGGCTGAGGACTAATAGGACTGGAAAACTGACATACCCTCTCACTACTAAAGGTTATTGCCATTCCTTGTCAAGACTGAGACTCACAGGTGCCTGGGATGTGGGGACAGGCTGCTTTCTGCCTCATCATACTATGCTTAGTGAGAAGGATTTCAATTTCTGTCAATCAGGCCCTTTTCACCAGCACTAAAGTCAAGTAAAAATACAAAAACTATTGATTTTAAGTTTTGTTTGTTTTCTTTTTTACAACCAGATCTGTAAATACTGTCAGTAAAAAGAGCTGAGAATTGAACCCAACTTTTCTGTTGTATTCTTGAAACAATGGACTGTTTATTCCATTGGCAACTGTGTCTGGCTCAGTTAACTGCCTGGACAAAGAAAAGAATGTGTTTCCTCTAAGAAGTTGCTTTCCAGTAGAAATAGCATAAGTAAAAGATGTTTCTTATTCTTTGCTTGCTTGCACACTCTCTCTCTCTCTCTCTCTCTCTCTTTCAGCAAATGGATTCAGAGCAAGTGAAAAACATGTATCATATGTTCAAAAAATCCCCCCGAATTAAACTCTCACGCTCTCTTAATGGTTGATTATCTGCTGTCTACAATGCACATATTATTCCTTGCTAAATGTCTTAGGCTGGATGCTGCAAGCTGATCCACAGGGGCACCCCTTTGACTTGCAGGACTGGGGCTTTAGATTTGAGTCCGATGTAATTGCACCTGTGTGTGTTTTGCTACGGATTAATTTCAAGCTGCATAAAGGTAGCCTTTTCCATGATTATTATTTGTAATATGGCACTGCCCAGAGGCTCCAGCTGAGATCAGGGCCCCATCACGCTGGTCACTATACAATAATTGGAAACAGTCCCGGCCTCAAAGAGTTTACATTCTAAATAGGCAAGACAGATAAAGGGTTGGAGGGGAAACTGAGGCACAGAGAAATGCAATGACTTGCCCAAGAGTCACCCAGCAGGTCAGTGATAGAGCCAGAAATAGAATCCAGGGCTCCTGATTCCCAGTCCTGTCCCCAAGACCAAGCTGTCCTGATCTGCATGAGAAACATGTGTAGATCATCATGTTTCATTATCCAAATGTACATTTTATCCCAGAGAGCAGGGGTCTTCTATGTGCATTTTTCAGTTACAATGAATATGGATTTATTTGTGCTGAGAAATCATGATGTCTGCGAGAGAAATGCAAAGCCAGTGAAAATCTTTTGTAACACCAGTCCTAAGGCTATGCATGGGTGAGTCAGCAATCTTTGCTGCTTATCCTGCTTTGGGGATAAAGAACATAGCTTCCAGCCAATCCTGTAACCTTTAATATCCGCCGACCTGTATAAAATTATGCATGTCCTATTGTCTTCAACTGCATTAAGTAATGCCCATGTTTCAGTTTTGAAGGCTTGGGGACCTAAATGGGTAAGGAGACATTAGTTTTTTAAAGTTTTCCTATGCAGAAACACCAGCTTGTGGGCTGATGGAAAGCCTATTTGATGATCGGCAATGGTGCTTTCTGAGGTATCTTAGGGTACAGAGGCCTGCCCCAGCACTGGCAGACAAGGAGTTAATCTTTGCTAGGCTGTGCTGCTGACCAGAAACAGGTGGAATGGGTTGTGGTAATGAGGTGAAGCTGCTGCCTAAGACACTCAGTGCAGGGCTTCTAGCCTGAATGAACTTTTTGGTTTAAAACATTCTTCAACTCTGTTTATTTCTGAACCGCTTCACCCAAAGGATCCCGATAACAAAACGTACCGTGGGCAGGCTCTTCTGGTAGAGCTGCCACACTGCTCTAGCGGCTCACACAGGGTGTAGGCTGCAAAGTGTTCCTTTCTCCCCTCTGCTCTTTGCACAGCAATAAGCCCAGCCCAACAGCTTCTAAAACTCCCCATGTGTCTGCACCAGAAGCGTTGCTAGGTCTGGTTCCACTTTACCCAGCTTTGACCAGCAGTGAAGATGGCTCCTCTGTGCCCATGTATGGCTGGAGCAAAGCAGTAACCCTCAGAAAAGAAGAACTGGTGAGTCCCAACCCAGTGACTTGCCCCACAGCTGAAATTCTCTCTCACTCTCTCTCTGCTGCAAGTGGGGCACGGTACAGAGGGAGGACAGAAGTGACTGAGTGTCTGCTCATAAAAGGCTGAATTTCAAAGGAAAGGTAAGAACAGGCTGTACCATGGCTGTTGCTGAACCAACAGGGCCGGAACAAATCATAGGTGCTCTTGCCCAATATCACCACACAGCATAAGCAATCCTAGAGTGAGCTTCACTTTTGGAATCTCCCCAAAGGGTGTGGAGCAAATAGTACTGTGTATCCCTACATGGATAAGATAGTGTGGCAACTTTCTCTGCCAGGCCCGTAGAGCTTTTCCTTCGTAGCGCCTAGCTCTTTGGGTTCATGGAGGATGGGTGGTTAGAGCAAAGGACTGGTAGTCCGGACTCTGGGGTTTCATTTGTGGTTGTGCCTCTAACTTGCTCTACATCAGGAGTCAGCAACCTTTCAGAAGTGGTGTGCCGAGTCTTCATTTATTCACTCTAATTTAAGGTTTCGCGTGCCAGTAATACATTTTAACATTTTTAGTAAGGTCTCTTTCTTATAAGTCTATAATATATATCTAAACTACTGTTGTATGTAAAGTAAATAAGGTTTTTTAAAAATGTTTAAGAAGCTTAATTTAAAATTAAATTAAAATGCAGAGCCCCCCCGGACCGGTGGCCAGGACCCGGGCAGTGTGAGTGCCACTGAAAATCAGCTCGCGTGCTGCCTGTTGCCTACCCCTGCTCTACATGGTAGGCTTTGGTTAAGCCGCAGAACCTTTCCCTTCCTGTTTGCTCATCTCTGATGTGGATGCTATAATATCCAGAGCAGAGGGGTGCCCGGAGAGTCTGGCATATGCTTTGACTGAAAGGTGCTACAGAAATGCACAGCATATTACTATCTAAGCCGTCTGCATGGACTCGTGAAAGCTCGCGATTCGAAAGACCTATAGGGCCACCCAAATCCATCTTCCTGCCATTGAGGTGTTGCTCCCTACTGCACATTTCCTAGTGCCCTGTCCATTTTTAAAATGGGCAACCTTTTATATTCTGTAGTGGCAACAACCAGGGGTGAATTGGACTAGTCTTGTCTAACAAATCTGATTTAGATGCTGATTGCTGGACAGTGCTAAAGCTGCCTGAGGGGACCAAATTTCTGTTAATTAGAGATGTTAAGTAACTTTCTTTTCCCCTCCTTTCCCCATCCCCCATAGACCAGTTTCTTTTTTGATCAACTAGTAAAAACTCAGGTTTCCCTTGAAAAATGTTTCCCCTGCTCTGTGCCTTGGTCTCTGGGGCCAGAATAAATGGTTGAATGTTGAAC